AGCTCACGAATAGCTCGGCTCACTTACACCCATACGTCTCATACTTCCAATTTAATTCATTAATATTCAACTAAGTAATTTTAATTGTACTACATAACTACATGTTAGTTTTCATGAATAACATGTTTATCCAAATATATTTATCCTTAATTTCACCAAATAACCAAACCCAAAAATTGGGGTTCATGTGAAACTTTTAATTTTCTAATTTAGAACCTTGTAAATTAAAGATAATTGCTTCATACCTTTAATTCTAATGTTTGATGATAAAATCCCTTTGTTCTAACATTAATTCTTTATTGAAAATCAATCACACGCACTACCTCACCCAGAACACACACACACACATACTCTAAAGAGTTTTTGGATGAAGAATGATAAAAATGGGAAAATAGTTGATAATTCAAGGGACATTTGGTGTCAGTTTGGTGTGTTCTAGGTGTCTACTTCATGGAAAAGTTTTATGGCTTGACTCCCACTCCCACTCACACGCTGCCACATGCAAGAAGAGTGAAGGGTAGTCAGCATCACACACCTGTCAACGTCCAGTCAAGAAACCCCATGCAGGTATTGTGGTCTAAGCACCTTGTTCGTGTGATTGAAACAACTTACAACCCGTTTTTCCACACCTTAGTCAATTTTCTTTAAATCTCCTTTTTTTTTTTTTACTTTTGTAAATGTCATAACTTCTTCATCTGGATTCCGTTTTCTATGATCTTTATATCTTTTTACATCTTGTCGCAGACTCTACGACTTCTTTTTACTAATATTTGGCTAAACGTTTCCTAATTTTGAATTATTAAGTCGGGAAAATGGGTCCATGCCCATTTTTTCCAACTTCGTGTTGTGAATTAGTCATTTTCAAATTACCTTGATTTCTTCATCATATGTCCACTTGTCCTTAATCTTTTTCCTATGTATTCATTGACATAATGTCTACAAATTTCATTTATAGAGTTCCCTACGAATCATATTAAGTCTTGAGTTATTAGACTCTAAAGATGATACCTTGGAATTATATAAAATCTCGTCAACTTTGAGTAGGTTTTATTCAAACTTTACAAGTTCAAAACTTGTTCATTCCCTTACCAATTAGGCTTATTCATTTTATATTTTTTAGTCAGATATATTCTCTATCAGTTCCAACCTATATTCCTTATTTTCCGGTATATGTTTAGAGTTTAAGGTGTTGTTTGTTTTTCGAAGCGAAAACGTTTGAAGTCTATGGACCACAACTGCAACCCTCTTCAGCAGAAGAGGTGAACCAAAAGACTACAACCTGTAATAAGAAGTATGTTTATTTTTTAACGTCTGCAGGTTGCTGCAATAAACTAGAATTTAAATAAACTGATTTCACAAACTTATGAGAAATATACGTCCTAGACCATATATTACAAGTGAATTTTTTTAAACATATTATATTTATTCATTTAAATTATATTTAATTTTGTGGTTGTTAACCAAATTGTTGTTTAATATTTAAATTATATTTAATTTTATGGGTTTTAAATTATATTTATTCATTTTTGTTAAATATAAATTATATTTCATTTAAAGTAAGGTGGGAAGAAGTTTGAAGAGAATAGTATGCACCGTGCAGCACACACATAATAGTTTTTAAGTCAAAAGTCTTTTAAAAACAAATATTTACGAAAGGCCAAGTGTTGTGTGTGTTCTGCGCGATACAACCGGAAGTGGTTAGAAGTGGTTTATTAGAAAAACAAACTGCCCCTAAGGATTCCAAAATGCTTCCTACATCATTTTATGAAGAAAAAAAATCTAATTATTACATTACTTTCAATTCTACCATTACTCATATGTTTCAACTTTAAAAAATAAACTTATAAATTCACAACTCCAAAAATGTTTCCTACATCATTTTATGAAGAAAAAAAATATAATTATCACATTACTTTCAATTCTACCCTTACTCATATGTTTCAACTTTAAAAAATAAACTTATAAATTCACAACTCACAAAAGACTAAAAAGGACTGAATTTTCACAAAATTATCATAATGACCAAAACACCTACATAAAATACTTACATTTTCAAACATAATTTTTTAGTTATCATAATTACCTACCCCTTAAAATGATTATGTCCTCAGAAGCATATCATAGTCGATAAAATTAGGGTATCTTTTCATCATGGCTCCATTTCTTTCCCATGTTAAGTTTGATCCAAGGGAATGCTTCAATTTTACTAACACTAGTTCAATCTCTTTATTTCTTAACTTATTGGTCTTGATCTCTAATATTATGGCTTCCGATTCTTCTATAAATTTATTGTTTTCATCAATTTTAAAGTCACTTAAAGGAATTGTTAATTATTCATTTCCAAAGTATTTTTTCAAGTAACTCACAAGAAAGAGACTTTCAACATCACTAAATCTCCTTCTTTCATGTCAAAGGGTATTTCCTTCAAACTTGCATAACTTATTTGTCGATCTTGTGCGACTTTTCATATTAGTTTGGATCACCTTTATTTTCTCATTTTGTAATTCTCATAATTTCGGGACCCATGAGCTTTTTCTCTTCGGCTTCAAGCCAACACAAGGAGTATTACACTTCCTCCTAAACATGCCTTAAAGGGTGGCCTTCAAATACTTGAGTGATAACTATTACTATATGAAAATTATGTTAAGGATTGATTATCATCCCATTTCCCTCCAAAGTCAAGATTACAAACTTATAACCCCTTAAATTCAATATCAATGGTTGAATCCCTTCAGATTTTCCATGTCTCCTTTCTCTAGCTCCTAAAATGCGATGAAGAATAATGAAAGGGAGGGGGGTTGCTTGGGGACTAATAACAAGTTCTTCTTATTCGAATTTGGCCACCTAACTTTTAATCCTTGCAAAATGGCCACCATCTCATAAGTCTTGCAACTGGATTTTTGTTATTTATACATTTAGTCCTTCCACACCATTTTTATGACACTTCCCAAGTCCCACTTAAGCGAGTTAACTCTTGGTCAAACTCAACTTTCATACCTTTGTCAAATTTAACTCTTATTTACTAAATTTGTTAAATTTAACTTTTATCTCCTCAAATTTATATAGTTACTATAATCTGATTTTATTTTATTATTTTTATTATTATTCTTTATTTATCAAAATTTTATATGTTTTTATTTAGTTAATTAAAGTGAAATGTTTTTCCCTAAAAATGAATGTTATGGTGTTGTTAGTGTAATGTCTTCGTTTTCCTCTTAACGAAAGCTTCCTATAAAGAAAAGATTAGCAGTAAACGATGTGGTTGAGGCTCGACTTGGACTCGATTCCCTTAAACAAATTCGTCGTCTGTTCCCAGGGTACAACAACCTTAACAGTATTGTGTACTGCCGAATATTACCACTTGCCTGAAAGGATCGCCGGAAGCAGGAGTACAGAGAAGGAGGAAGAAGAGTATTATTTTCATTCGTGTGTTTGAATGAGACGGAAAGGTCTTCTTTTTATAGTTGAGTCGTGTAATGGAAACAAATCACTAATTGATTGAGCGTTTAATGCCAATAAATGTCCGCAGGTCGCGCGCGAGAATTCAAAAATAGGGACCAAAACGAGGGTAGCGCGCGCCCGAGTTTTCGGAGCTGCTTTCGTGTCCGCAGGTCGCACCCATGCACGATTTCGGTGTTTTTGGTCTACGAAATCCAAGATTTGCACCCCCTGCGCGCGGGTAGGAATTATAGTAAAACCATAGACACAAGCTTGTAAGCCTTTCATGCATTCAAGCTTATAAACCTTATTTGGTTTGGTCTTTCTACCAATGTGGGAATCATTCCCACATTCCTCTCTTTTTGCTAAACATATTCTCAAATACCCATCTTTGAGTATCGATATCTCATTCACATATACTCTATTTTGGACATATAATATATCGTTTCGAAGTCCTCGTGGAGGAGAACACAAACCCACTTAGAGTTAGTTATATATACAACATATGTATATATTTATATATGTCCAAAGTTAGTAAAAATATAAATATTTATACTAAATTTTCCAACAAGTGTTTCCATCGTCTCCTAAATCAATATCCTCAACCATATTTGGTCTTAAATAAAAACAATTGATGCTCAAAAAGGGATGAAGACACTTCTTTAATTCAAAAAACTTCATCATCCTCTTCGTACTCAACTGATAAGTTATTATACAAGAATAGGTTTACATCATCATCATGAGAGTATTCATTTTCATCAACTTTATTTTCTGCTTTCTTTTGCTAAATCCAATCATATAATGGTTCATTGAAGTTATCAATGTATACACTAATCATTCCCTCGTTAGCATAACCACTATTAAGAAATCTAACATAATCGTCATCATCTGTCAATACTCTCAATGTATATCTCATTTGTCATTGTTTAATTAATGCAATAATATACATCAAAACTCACCTCTCATGAGTTAATTTTTCAAGAAATAAAACGAACTCCATAAAACACATTCTTCTAAAATCAACATCTCTCACAAAAGTTTTAACATGGTTGAAGTAGACTAAAGGTTTTAGGGTCAAACGAGTCTTTGTATTAAGCATCAACGATTAAGAACTCTATTTATTTGCATTTGACGAACTAGTCATTATTGTTATCCTTCTAATATGGTTCGAGTGTGAATTAGAGAAACAAGCCTTAGTTTTCACGTAACCTTGCATAGTATTTGTCTAAATGTCAATAAAAAGATGCTACATTTGTAATAGCCGGAAAGAAGACCCTAAAATCAACATAACCTTTTTTGTAATATCACCGAAGAAGCCTATTATCCCGATAATAATGATAACAGTTTAATAAGTTCAATGGTATAATATAAATACTAAAAAAAAATTATAACCCGTCATTTTCCTTTTACATTTTACTTAGCATGTGATTTAAGTTAAAATAAATTTTAACTCTTATAAAAAAATTATTACCCGACATTTTCCCTTACAAAAAAAGGTACATATGTATTTTTTGTAATATAAATAGCGTGTGATTTAAGCTTGAAAAAAAAAAGCGCTTTTGATTTAAGCTAATTTTTACCCATCCGTACGGTTAAAAGCGATAATTACCTTTGCCGGTGTTACCTATCGTCTCTCTTTCCAGTTTCCATCCCTCTCCTGCCAGTCGAAGGCGACGCAATTCCATAATCTTGCAGGTTCACGATCATCGTCGTCGTCTCTCCACCTCTCTATAGGTATGATCATAACCCATTGATCGATTTGTTTCATCAGTATGAAGTTATTCGTTTCCTTCATTCAAGATGTTTTGCAATTTTTACATATCGCTGATGTTTTCACAGAATTTGGACTTATAGGAAGCAACTATGTTTGGTTCTAGCAACTGTAAGTTTCTTTTCTTCTCCTTTTTGAACCTAATTATACGCATTCCTTTTGTTGCCCTTTAATGCGTCTGTCTTTTAGTTTTTTATTTATTTAAAGTATGGGATTTCTGGCAAGTGCCATTTGCCAATATGCATATATATGTACTTCAATGGCTGATTTTTTTGTGTAGATTTCATATGTTATAACTTATAAAAGTATGATATGCTTGTTTACTACTTATGTATTCTAATATTATCTGTTCGTGCAACATCTGCTAACATCTAGGGGTAAAATGGCTAATTACTTGCATATTGATCCTTCTTTTGAACGACTAATTTAGTTTTATGACATGTCTAATTTGGATTCCATGGTATTCTTCAGCAGTATTTTGTGGTTCATCATCACCTTCTTTTGGAGCTTCATCAACCCCAGCTTTTGGTGCTTCATCTTCTGGTTTTGATTGTAAGCATATCTATCTAAGTAGTTTGGTTTTTTAGTTTCCATAGTATTGATTTTTGGGTTCTTTTTTTGGGAAAAAACTAGAGAAGTAAAAGGTAAAAGAATCTTTTTTTGGGAAAAAACTAGAGAAGTAAAAGGTAAAAGAATCAATTGAATATTGATTTTTGGTTATTCGGTTTGTTTATCTTTTTCTTTGTTTCCATAACAACAAAAACCAAACGAAATTTAAAATTTCGGTTTTCTATTATAATCTTTCTCATAGTCTATAGATTATAAACTTCAATTTGATAGTCTTTTATTCTTATTTTATCGAATGATTTTTTTATTATTATTTTTTTTTCTAAACCAAATTACAGGCAAATCCTTATCCAGTCAAAAACCCTCAGTCTTTGGATCCACAACACCAACACAACCCACATTTGGAAGCAATCTTTTTGGGTCAACTCAATTTGGAGCTTCAAGTCAACCCTCTTTTAGCACTCCAAGCACCCCAACATTCTGGAGTTCAACCACCCCTGCCTTTGGTGCCACATCAGCATCCGCCTCCGGGTCCACATCTTCCCCTGCATTTGGTAGCTCTCCGTTTGGTGCCACATCAGCAGCTGGCTTTGGTGCCACATCTACCCCTGCATTTGGTAGCTCTCCTTTTGGCGCCACATCAGCAGCCGCCTTTGGTGCCACATCAGCATCTGCCTCCAGGTCCACATCTTCCCCTGCATTTGGTAGCTCTCCTTTTTGTGCCACATCAGCAGCTGCCTTTGGTGCCACATCAGCATCCGCCTTTGAGTCCACATCTACCCCTGCATTTGGTAGCTCTTCTTTTGGTGCCACATCCGCCTCCGGGTCCCCATCTACCCCTGCATTTGGTAACTCTCCTTTTGGTGCCACATCAGCAGCCGCCTTTGGTAGTTCTTCTTTTGGTGCCACATCAGCATCCGCCTTCGGGTCCAAATCTACTCCTGCATTTGGTAGCTCTCCTTTTGGTGCCACTAGCTTGCCTTTTAGTTTTTGGTCAAGTCCAGTATCTGGTCAGTCCACATCAGCATTTGGTAATGCCACGTCACCGCTTGGGGTGCAAAGTTCGCCTTTTGGTACACTTTCTTCTGTACTTGATTTTTTTATTGGTTCTAGAACTTTCCGTTGCAATAAAGGAATAAAAATCATTATTTGATGCGTGCAGAAAAACCAAAAACTGGAAAAAAAAAAATAATAATAATAATAATCGTAAGTTTAATGATCTGGTTTTGGTTTTTTAGAAAAACAAATTTTTAGAGTCAGTTTAATTGATTACTTGAAATAATGAACATGCCTTTACAGAAAGCCTATTAGGTATAGTTTTGAAGGAAAATTAAAATAATAAACATGCCTTTATGATTTCTGTTGGGTTGTAATTATCTTTTATTATGTTCTAGTATCTTTTTAGTAAATTACTCTTTTTTTTTTTTTTTAAATTTACCACCATTATAATGAAAAAAATGCAGGTGTTAAGGCGACAACACCAGCATTTGGGAGTTGTGGTTTTGGTCAAACATCATTTGGTGGTCAACGTGGTGGAAGTAGAGTAACTCCTTATGCTCAGACACCTGAGGAAAACAATGGTGGTGGGACCCACCCTGCTGTAAAATTTCAGTCCATATCAGCAATGCCTGCATTCAAAGAGAAAAGTCATGAAGAACTTAGATGGGAAGATTATCAACAAGGAGATAAAGGTAATCATCATCTTCATCATCATCATTGTTTGTTTTCAACATAGGAATGGAATGTGATTCCTTCTCTTGGGCTGATTTTCAATTCTTTTTGAAAAATATGTTTTGGTTATAATTCTGTCATAAGACTTCATGGTATTTAATTATATATTTATAAGCAATTTTCTAAATTGATAAATAAACTTGTTTGACTATTTGAAATACATATAATATATATTTCAAACGCCATAAAATATGTTTATATCTAAGCTATTTAAGAATATATCATTATTTGATTAAAGTTTATGTTCAAAAAACAACATATTTTTTTCTTCATTTATCAATTTAGTTTCATTCACTCTTTCAATTACACACAACAAACATGTTTGAAGGAGTCATTTCATTCCTTGAAGCTAACTAAACATGATAGCGGAATGTAATGACCAATTCCATTCCTTTGTGATTCCATTGTTCCTTACTCCTTAGCAACTTCCTTATAATTTTCTTATTAATTATTTATCTTTTTTTTCAGGGTGTCCAAATCTTATTGGATTCAACAACACACAATTAAAAGCAAAATCTTTTCCCCTAAAATCTTCAACTTTCACTACCCCCGGATTTGGTACCACAGGGTCTACATTTGGAAGCTTCCCTTTTGGTGCATCTAGTACACCGGTGTCTAGTGCCACGTCAGCATTTGGTAGCAGCCCATTTGCTACTGCCACGTCACCATTTGGGGCTCAAAGTTCGCCATTTGGTACATTTTTTTATCTGTATTTGATTTTTTGTCTGTTCTAGAACTTTCTGTGGCAGTAGTGGAGTAAAAATCAATATTTGACAGGTAATTAAAGATAGGAGCATGCAAAAAAAAAACCGAAACTGAAAAAAAAAAAAAGTTATAACCGAAAAACTAACAGTCTGGTTTTGGTTTTTGAGTTGGTTTGTTTTTTTTTTTTTTTTTTTTGTTAAATTAAAATTTAAAAAGCATAAAACCCAAAACAACGTTATATTGTGTATACGTTTAGTTTATTAGGTTTTTTAGAAATTAGAATTATAAACACACCTTAGAATTTCTATTCAATATTAAAACATTGTCTTTTACAGTTTCCAAGGAAAGTTTCTCCTAAACCTTCTGTTTTTTTAGTAAATTACTTTTTTTTTTGTATAAAAAACGAACCTAACCAAAACACCCTAAATGGCAGTATTTTAGAAGGGTTGTGCTTAAAGTCGATCAAATCAAATTTTTGACATTTGATTTGACATCATTTTTTTTTCTTTTTTGTCTTTTGTTGTTTTTAATTCTTTTTTAATTTATATTATTATTGTTATTACATTTTAATATTATTATTATTATTATTATTATTATTATAAATTTCGCACAAAATTTTAACATTTGGACGACATTATAAATTCGAGCGGCTATATAAAATCGATTTTTAAATATTTTTTTATATTTTAATATTAATATTATTATTGTTATTATTATTATAAAATTCGAGCAACATTTTATAAATCGGAAATTATAAATTCAAACGTCTATATAAAATCGGAAACATTGTATAGTGCTCGACTAAATGTTTTCAATCCGCAAAACGCACCACGCAATTGTAATACTGTACCAATTAATATCCGTAATTAATAGGGACAAACTTTGTTTTTGTTCCGATTTTATATAGCTGTTCGAATTTATAATGTCCGATTTATAAAATGTTGTTCGAATTTTATAATAATAATAACAATAATAATATTAATATTAAAATATAAAAAAAATATTTAAAAATCGATTTTATATAGCCGCTCGAATTTATAATCTCATCCAAATGTTAAAATTTTGTGCGAAATAATAATAATAATAATAATTAAAAAAGAATTAAAAACAACAAAAAAACAAAATAAGAAAAAAACAACAAAAGACAAAATAAAATCAGGGGGGTGGAATTGGAAAAGGAGGGGGGTACTTATAGAAAACCCCTTTTAGAAATTAAAGTAATAAACATGCCTTTACACTATCCATCAAAAATAAAATTCATCTTTTATAGTTTCAAAGCCTTCACAGTTTCCTTTAAAAATAAAATTTTGTGTTTTATAGTTTTGAAGGGAAAATTAAAACAATAAACATGAGTTTCTCTGATAATGAACACGCCTTTATGGTTTCCATTGGGTTGGATTGTTTTTTTTTTCCTACATTTTTAAGCAATACTCTTATCTAATTATCTTTTATTATGTTCTAGTATCTTTTTAGTGTGTGTGTGTATATATATATATATTAATGAAAAAATCACAAAATTGCAGGTGGTCAAGCGACAACACCAGCATTTGGGAGTTGTGGTTTTGGTCAAACATCATTTGGTGGTCGACGTGGCGGGAGTAGAGTAACTCCTTATGCTCAGACACCTGAGGAAAACAATGGTGGTGGGACCCACCCTGCTGTAAAATTTCAGTCCATATCAGCAATGCCTGCATACAAAGATAAAAGTCATGAAGAACTTAGATGGGAAGATTATCAACAAGGACATAAAGGTAATCATCATCATCATCATCATTGTTTGTTTGCAACATAGGAATGGAATGGAGCATTCCTTCATTTCTTCTACTAGGTTGATTTTTGTTCTTTTTTCCATTTTAAACCCTGATGGAATGCAATATGTACTAAAAATGATTCTAAAATTTTCTTCAATAAGGATAATATGTTTTTAACGTTATATATATATATATATATATATATATATATATATATATATATATATATATATATAAAGTAAAAACAGTAAATAGTGTGAAAACATAAAAACATTATGTTTATGTTATTATTCTGCAATGAATGTTGTATATGTATATTGTTGAAGTAATTCTAATAGGAATATTAACGTTTGATTATTCATATATTCTTTAGAATGTTATTATTCTATTATAAATTTATATATGTGTATTTTTGTAGTAAATTCTAATTTTAGTTTTAACCTTTCAGTATTCATTTATTCATTGCTGAATAATGGCATAAAGTTGTGCATACAAAATTCATTGCAGAATAATAACATAAAAGTAGTGTTTTTACGTTTTCACACTATTTACAGTTTTTATTTGAACTATATATATATATATATATATATATATATATATAATCTTTAATAACAACAGTATTTATAAAATATTCTAAAAGTTAATTACTTACTTTTAGAATATTTTATAAATACTGTTGTTATTAAAGATTTTATATATATATATATATATATATATATATAATCTTTAATAACAACAGTATTTATAAAATATTCTAAAAGTTAATTACTTACTTTTTGTTATTTTATAAAACTACTAAAAGTGTTTTTTGATTATAATCCTGTCTTAAGCTTCATTGCATATTTAATTTTTATTTTATAAACAATTTTTTTTAAGTGATAAATTAACTTCTCTTTGATTATCTGACATAAATTTTGTATATATTTCAAGGGACATGAAATATATTCATATCTAATGTAGTTAATGTTTTATCAAATAAAGATTAAAAGTTTATTTATAAAAAAAAAGTTACTTTTTCTATGTTTATCAATGTCCTAACTCATTCCGTTTACTTTGCTTATTCCATTCCATAATGGTAGTATTTGGTATGCAGCAACTTAAAATAAAACGGGGAATGGAATGGAAAGATCATGGTTGTTTGCCACATAGGAATGGAATGTGATTTCTTCTCTCGGACTGATTTTCATTCCAGTGTGATTGCTTTTTTTTTTTTAAATTCCTTGATGGAATGGAGTGATATATTATAATTTTTTTATATATATTATCTTTAATAACAATAATATGTTTTATATTTTTACAATTTCAGTTCAATTATTTTTGTTATTTTTTGAAAATAATTAAAAATATGTTTTGGTTATGCCTAATGGTATTTAATTTTACATTTATAAGCAATTTTCTAAAGTAATAAATAAACTTGTTTGACTATTTGAAATACATATAATATATATTTCAAACACCATAAAATATGTTTATATCTAATTTATTTAAGAATATATCATTATTTGATTAAAGTTTATGTTCAAAAAACAATATATTTTTTTCTTCATTTATCAATTTAATTTCATCCACTTTTTCAATTACACACAACAAACATGTTTAAACGAGTCATTTCATTCCTTGAAGCTTACCAAACATGATAGTGGAATGTAATGACCAATTCCATTCCTTTGTGCTTCCATTATCCTTTTAATTTCCTGATTAATTAATTTTTTTTTTATTTTTCAGGGTGTCCAAATCCTATTAGTCAGACATCTGGTGGAATGGGATTCAGCAACACACAGTCAAACCCTTTTTCTTCTTCACCTTCTCTTGGACAAACAAGCTCTTGCTTCGGGCAGTCTGCCCGGTTATTTGCAAAGAGTCAACGGGCAAGTTCAGTATTCGGTCAGTCCATGTCAGCATTTGGTGGCAGCTTGTGTGATACTTCCATGTCACCATTTGGTACAATTTTTTTTTTATCTCTTCTACAACTTTATGTGGCAATAAAGGAATAAAAAGTAGATCTTTGATAGGAAAAATTATTTTTTTAGATTTGGTTCAGTTTTGTTTTTTTTCTTTAAGATTTGAAACAAGACTGTTATCTAATTACCTTCTATTTGTTAATTAGTAAATGACTTGTTTTTTCTATTGAAAAATTAAATGTCTTTTGTAGTTTTGAAAGGCAAAATTAAAATAATAAAACATGAGTTTCTCCAATAATGAACATGGCATTATGATTTCCATTGTGTTGGATTTTTTATTTTCTAAATTTGAGCATTATGATTTGAACATAGCATCTTTTTAGTAAATTATTTTTTTAATGAAAAAAAAAATGCAGGTGTTGAGGCGACACAACCAGCATTAGGGGGTTCTGGTTTTGGTCAAACATCATTTAGAGGTCAACGTGGTGGAAGTAGAGTAACTCATTATGCTCAAACACCTGAGGAAAACAATGGTGGTGGGACCCACTCTGCTGTAAAATTTCAGTCAATATCAGCAATGCCTACATACGAAGACAAAAGTCATGAAGAACTTAGATGGGAAGATTATCAACAAGGAGATAAAGGTAATTAATAATCATCATCTTCATCATCATCATTGTTTGTTTTCCACATAGGAATGTAATCACCCATTCCTTTGTGATTTCATTGTTCCTTAGCAACTTATCCTTTTATATTTCCGTATTAATTAATCTTTTTTTTATTATTATTCAGGGGGTCCAAATCCCATTGGTGGAATGGGATTCAACATCACACAATCAAACCCTTTTACCTTTCCACCAGCATTTACCCAAGCAAGCTCTCTCTTCGGGCAGACTGCCCCATCATTCGGGCAGGGTACTCCGGCTTTCGGTCAGTCAAATGCATTTGGTGGAAACTTGGGATTCAATCAGACAACTGTGAGTTAGTTCCTTTCAATGATGTAATTTATTTTCTTACCCATAATGTTATTGTTTACAATTTAACTACTTTTTTATAAAATCTTACTTTTGTTGCTTATATCAATGTAGCCTTTCATTTCAATGCCTTTTCAATTGGTGGCTCAACCTACTCAAAATTCAAGCGGTTTTGGCTTCGGGACGCCAACAGGTCATTTAATGGAAAACTTTTTTTTTTTACAAAAATAGTCCTTGCGGTATAGTGAAAGTGCAGGTTCAGTCCCTGTTTCGGTTTTGTTACAATGAGTGTAACGAAACTTGAAGATGAAATTTCCGCTATACAACAGGGACTGTTTCTCTGTAAATTACTTTTTCTTTAATTTTTTTTTTCTCCTTGACAGGTGGCATTGGTGGGACATTAAGCGTGTTTAGTCAGAACAATTTAGTGTGCTTTTTTGCATGTTTAAGCATTAAGGAACAATAAAGATTATTGTTCTAAATTGTCCATAGTTATGTGTTAGATACGTGTCTTTCTGTTTTTGATAAAACCAAACCAAAGATTTTGGTTTTTAAGATTTTGAAAAATTATGGTTTTAGTTATGTGTTTGGTTTTTGGCTTTTTTTTGGTTTTATTTCATCGTTTTTTTTAATTATTAATTATTCTGATAATATTCAAAAATTAAATGCACCAAAATTAATTAAAAAAAAGGATCAACATTTTAAGCGTACAAGATTACTAAATAATTCCTTTTGTAATTAAGGAAAAGAAATATAGCTAACAAAGTTGAAAACAGTAGATTGAAAAGAGGGACGATGCATAAGCATTACACAAGCGGAAAAGAAATAATGACAAGAACTTTTTTCCATAGGGAGTGGCCATTGGCAAAGCGGTTAGTTGTTTTTTACCAAAAAAAAATCATTTTTTTCAGTTTTTACCACAATCTAACCTTTGCCATTCCAATTATTTCTCTTAAACCCTTTGTACTCTAGTTTCAAAATGTCTTCTCCAAACAACCAAAAAACTTCAAGAAAAAATCTACAAGCCTTTCGTCACCCTTGTGGTACTAACCTGAAATTGATCGTACGTTCTATTCACCAATAATGTTTCATTATGCCAAAAATCCTCTATAATCCATATGGACAAGCAAATTTCAATCCCAATCCCAATCCCAATCCTAATTCCAATTCCAATTTGATATTAATCCATTTGAGACAATTCAAGAAACTCAACTCCAATCTCAACCCTAACCCCAACCCCAAATCAATTCATCAACTGATTCTGATGGTGTACTTGAAACACAACCCGACCCGAACACAAAAGGGAAGGCCCTGAATTTAGCGTGGATCCTAGAAGAGAGGATGTTCATCTAGGTTGAGTTCCACCCCGACATGGCCATCACATGATTGACTATGAGTGATTTTAGAAGTTTTGGTTCTTTTAGAACCATCCGTAATTAAATCTTCTGATGTATTTATTTGAATCAATTTTTCTGAATCCTTCACAACATTCCAAAACTCATCATATTTGAAAACCCCATTTTTTTTTCTTTTCGGTAAAGTTTTTGAGTTTTGATTATGATGATTGCATCATAACTTAATAGGATTTTGACACACTTATTGATACCCATAAATTACACTTGAGTTCCTAAACCATTATTGAATATGAATGGAGGTAAGCTTTTTCACTCCTTTGAAGGTTAAAAAACATAGTTTTTGGAGTGAGGTTCAGTACTTACCCATAGTACATGTCTCATATTAATCTTTTTGGAAATATTTTGAGTATGATACAAGGTTGGGAGGAAGAAGCTTGATTGTTGAAACAATGCACCAAAGGAACTATCTTTTTCAACAAGGAGCACCAAAACCACTCAAAAGAGCCAAAACCACCAATATGAGTTAGGGTTATGGTTTATGGGGTTTAAGGGAGATGGAGGTTGAGAAATGAAACCTAAATTTTGGTTTAGGGTGCTTAAACAGAAAGCAAACCCTAAAAGACCATGGGCGTAGGATGCATCCCTTTTCACGTCGTGACCACTCTTCCAATGTGCGTATTCCTCAACTCAGCTTGTCACGTCATGACCACCCTATGGTCACGTCGTGACACTCGATTTTCCCTAAAAACCAAGTTTTTGAATCCATAAAGCCCTAAACCGATCCAATCCAGGAAACAGGTGTTACATCATCCTTCCTGTAAAATTGGCTTCTATGTCTACAACTTTGAAGCTGGTTTAAGGGTTCCTACTTCAGCCTTTTTTGGGCAAATCATTGAAGCCTATAGGATGCATATGTGTCAGCTCAAACCAAATTCTATATCCAAGATGATTTGCTTCAAATTGTTGTGTCATGCTTCCTTTGTCGTGCCTAATGTCGCCTTGTTCTACTACTTATTTCGGATTCGTAGCAGTGGTTCATGGATTCAATCACGAGTAATTCTAAATCGATAATATTTTCTATTCTTCAAGCAGATATGCATAAGTTACAGTTTGCAAATTTGTTGTGTATTGGTATTACATTAACGCATCTATAACTAGATGTTATAAATTTAGTCTCGTGTATGGAATGATGAGTAAATATTATAATTATGTAGTCGAGGTTTATTCGTTCCTTTTACCTATAAAAGGAAAAATGATATCTTTGGTCCCCTCGATGATTTGATATTGACATTATAGTATTGGGCCCAACCTAGACTAAATTGATGTGTTCAATTTGTAGTCTAATAAGGTCATTATATATCGGAAATCGGCAAACAAAATCTTGGACTATGAAATTGATTTGTATCCATGTCTCGTGTCTATATGATATTGTAACATCCCAAAAATTCAACAAATTTAAAGCTTTTCAAAGCAACCCTTTTTCTAATAGAAGTGTTACAAAACCATTGTTTTCAAAACATTATTTAAGATCAGAGTCTCCCAAGATCAAATCAGTTGAAAACCAAGGATGTGTACGGTCATGCCTTCGCCTTGCCACAGTCCACTAAAGTACCTGAAACCATAAACCAAAACTGTAAGCACGAAGCTTAGTGAGTTCCCCCAAAATATCACCACACAAACAAATAACATATACACTAGCATGCTCAAATACTCATGCCTGGCCCAATCAGCGTCGGGCTAGAATACCAGACATGTCTACGATGGGCCCAGTCATCCTCGGGATGGAATACCCTCGCGTCATAAACAATTTGTTCCAATCAACCATCGGGTTGGAATACCAAACATGTCAGGTTCAATCAGCCATCGGGTTGGAATACCCCAGACCTATTGACTGACGCACAAAGCAGTCCAGTCTCACCACATACCATACTATCACATCGGGTCCAATCAACCATCGGGTTGGAATACCCCAGGCTCAATCAACCATCGGGTTGGAATGCCAATATAAAACGGGTCCAGTCATCCTCGGGATGGAATACCCTCAAGCCCAATCAACCATCGGGTTCGATTGCCAACATTCTATGGGTCCATTCATCCTCGGGATGGAATACCCTAGGCCCTCAACCATCGGGTTGGAATGCCCCGGCCTGTTGGCTTAAGCACAAAGCAGTGAAGCCTTAGCCACCGACCAAACATGTACACATATAACAGTCTACAGCCAGTCAAACAGATCTAACAGATCATAACAGCATAGCAACATCCTATCTACCAGGATACCGATCTAACAGATCATAACAGCGTAACAACATCATATCTACCAAGATACTGATCTAACAGATCATAACAGCACATCAACATCCTATCTACCAGGATACCGATCTAACAGATCATAACAACATAGCAACATCCTATCTACCAGGATACCGATCTAACAGATCATAACAGCACAACAACATCCTATCTACCAAGATACCAATCTAACAAATCATTACAACACAGCAGCATGCATAACAGGATATCAATCTAATGTGTCGACATTGGTGCCTTCGGCCGGCAAGTACAGTGAGGACAACTCACCTGAATCAAAGAATTCTGATCACCGCGATACAATCCCCTTTTCAACACTGCTTCTTCCCCTGCATCCCCTAATACCATAACCAGATAAAATCTCAATCAAAAACCCAAACTCCTCAAGTTTTGATCCAAAGTTAACGGTTAACGAAAGTCAAAGGTCAGCAAGCCCTCACGACGTGACCTTCTATGGCTCACGCTGTGAGCCACAACATGACAAAATAATCGAGCCTGGTCACCCTCACGACGTGAGATGCATCTCCTCACATCGTGAGATCCGTCTGAATGCCATCTTTGATTCAAAAAATTCTTAATCCATTGGGACAAGCCACCAAACCTTCCATACAGTCTTATTCACTCCAGAACATCATAAAAATCGTGGCTTTTTGGACATGCACGTCTAATACATGTCCCAACACCAACTAGGGAACACATGGGGAAATATGACATCAAATCTTATGCAAGAGTCATAAAACTCTACCAAACTATAGATCTAGCAACTATCACCCTCAAAGGACCCTGGAGATCCATAAAGTTTGCAACTTTATGGATTCCAATCACCACATCAACTTGGATCTAGAGAAATAAGCACACAAAATCTAGATCTAGGCTTAGGTTTTATCCTGGATATTCACCAACTAAAATAAGGACCCTAGGCATAGGATTTTCGGCTCTAACTTCATGAGAAGCTAAATCCAAAAATTCCTTCATCTCTCCTTTCTCCTGTTCGTTTATACGGATTCTAAGGTATTGAATGTGAACCATTAGAGACATCCATACTTTTGGTGCTTGCTTTGCAAAGAAGATTTGAAGATCAAGAGTAGAGTATTTTCGATAATACTCAAATGTATGTATCTTAATCCTTGTGATTTCGATTATACCTAGGTTAGTTTATAGTTTTCATAGTATGTTGCTACTATGAGAAAAAAACATAAATATCTAGGTTGCATGTGCTCATAAATAGTTTTATGATTCTGATGCATATTTAATTTGTTTTGTAACATAGACAACCCATCACTCTCGACATACCAGACCACATCTCGCTTCATGCAGGGCCATCAATAATCGTGCCTTAAATCTTGATACATCTTCGTGGCACCGAGATGAATCGAAAACTTCAACTTATGTGTCTCTTTCATTAATATCTGACGGGCCCCGCCCGAATAAGGAACCCACACTTTATGTAACACTCATAAAAATCATGAAAAATTTAAACTTTTAAAACCAACCCAAAATCATAAATTGTTTACAACATAGTTTTCAAAACATGTTCCATATCAGAGTTTCCCAAAATCATAAGTTAAAACACGAGGATGTGTACGGTCACGCCTTTGCCTTCCTGTGATCGTCTGAACTCTGAAGTACCTGAAACATAACCCAAAACTGTAAGCCCAACGTTTAGTGAGTTCCCCCAAAGTACCAACACATAAACAAATAACACATATATAATAACAGCACGCAATAGGTCCACAACTAAAAGGCTAGATTCCCCTGAGCCCAGAACATATTCCTAGCTTGCCCTTGGGGCCCACATCTTATGTATGGCTTGCTCCCCGACCATATCAATCCTTGGACTGAATACCACC